CAGAAAGCATTGTATTTATTGACTATCTTCAAAAGGGTTACACCATCAATGGAGAGTAACCACCTTTGCAGTAGTAGGCCGTCTAAACTAGATGTAAAAGTAGCTGATTTACTTATTTTTACATAAAAATATTAAAATATAATGTAAAAGCAATATTTTATTATTTTTATGCAAAAATGTAAAAGTAAAAGGTAGCTGATTTTCCTCTTTCTATATAAAAAGTAGTAGATTTACCTATTCTTATACAAAAGAAATTAAAATGATGTGTAAAAGTAGCTGTTTCATATTTATACATAAAAATATAAAAATACAATGTAAAATGAGTAGCTGTTACTATTTTTATGCAAAAAACAAAAATCTTCTGTAAAAGTTGCTTTCCTCTTTTTATATATAAAAAATTAAATATACATTGCGTGCCAAATTATTATCGAGACAACTTTTTTCTAATATTTTAAAAACCATCCAATCAATTCACACAATGTTGGCAATACTGACCTGCGCAATCACTGAAATTTCATACTGATCTGCGCAATGTAAAAAAACTGACGCCATATTTGTTATCAGCACGGTGATTTGAGTGTGCCAAATTATTAGAAATGTTTAGTAAAATTCCCAGAATTGAGCAAACAAAATGTTTATTAATGTTTCATGTGAATGTTTATGATCAAAAGAAGCTAATAAATAAGATAATCAAACAAATAATAACAGATACAAATAAAGGCAGTTTTAAACAAATTAAATTTGCTGGTCACTTCATTTTTCAAGCTCCATCGAAGCCTGTTTCAAATATTCAGTAGTCTTGTAAGCAGCATGTGAGGGAGCATTATCTTGCATAAAAACAATGGCCCTTCTGAGGCAACTCTTTGCCTTTTCATCCACGATTCAAGATGCTCCTTCATAAACGCTATATATGCATCAGCAGTCATTTTGACGCCATCTGGTACTCTCCATGGGCCCACTAATGTTTTTCCAATAATACCACCCCATATCATTATGCCTCCACCACCTTGTTGGCGTATCAAACGCTGATGGTGATTCTGTCCGTTCATTACCCAGCCTTTGCACCGTCTATCTGACCCATCAAGTGTTGCTCGAGTTTCGTCTGTGAACAAAACTTTAGAGAAGCCAATCTTCATATTGTCCTCGGCCCATTTCAATCAATTTTGAATGTGATTTCTCGTCAACAGAGGCTTCGATACAGGTTTGACTGTTGTTGCTATTTCCCTCAGATACCGACACCAAGTACTTTTAGACACAATAGGATCCCCAATGCGACTGAAAAGCTCTTGACTGGTAAGTCTAGGGTTCTTCATGGCCTCTCGTTTAAGTTGTGACATGAGACGATGTGAAATAACCCTCGGCTGGCCTTTATCTTCCCTTTTGCGTACTTGTGTAGGGTCGGCGGTGAACTTTTTCACTGTTTGATGACACCTCCCTATCATTTTAGAAATTTCTAGGGTAGATTTACCTTTTGAGAGTTCTGAGGTGATAGTTTTCTTTTCAGCATCACTTAAACCGCTTTTACAGCCCATCTTTTCACTAAATTCTTACACTTTTCTAATAAATTGGCAAGCTCAAATCACCATGCTGATAACAAATATGGCGCCAGTTTGTTTACATTGCGCAGATCAGTACGAAAATTTCAGTGATTGCGCAGGTCAGAGTTGCCAACATTGTGTGAAAATTTTCTGTGAATTGATTGGATGGTTTTTGAAATATTAGTAAAAAAGTTATCTCAATAATAATTTGGCATTCAGTGTAGTGTAAAAGTAGTACATATTCATATTTTTAAACAAAAAATGCTAAAATTGTGTAAAAGTAGCAGACGTTTATATTTTTATATAAAAATATAATGAAAGAGAAGTAGATTTTATTATCTTTATTCAAAAAAGTAAAAAATTTGTGTAAAAGTAGCTCATTTTCTCTTTTTTTAAAAAAAAAATATTTGATGCTCATATATTTATACAAAAACAGAAAAAATCTTGTGTAAAAGTAGTTGAGTTTCTGATTCTTACAAAAAATGTAAAAATTAATGTAAAATAAGTAGATTTTAGTATTTCTATTAAAAAAGTGTAAAATCTTGTGTAAAAGTAGCTGATTTTCCTATTCTTACATAAAAATATAATATATTCTATATTAATTAAAAACATAAAATTTCTTGTGCAAAAGTTTTTCCAGTTTTTATATAAAAATATAAAATATAATGTAATAGTAGTTATTACTATTTTTATTCAAAAAATAAAATTCTAGTGTAATTCTAGTGATCTGATTTTTATATAAAAATATAATGTAAAAGTATTAGATTTTACTATTTTTATTCAAAACATTAAAAATCTGATTTTCCTATTTTTACATAAAATGTAAAAATATAATGTAAATGTAGATTTTACTAATTTTATTCAAAAACCTAAAAATCCTCAATAAAAGTTGATTTTTTATTCTTACATAAAAATATAATGTAAATGAAGTAGATTTTACTGTTTTTATTCAAAAGAATAAAAATCTGCAAAAGTAGCTGATTTCCAATTTTTATATAAACAAATTATGTAAAAATATTAGATTTTACTATTTTTATGTAAATAATTCAAAATCTTCTCCAAAAGTAGCTGATTTTCCTCTTTTTAATTAAACATGTTAAAATATAGTGTAAAAGTATTATATTTATATATTGTCATACAAAAAATGTTGAAATCATGTGTAAAATTAGCTGATTTTTTTTATTTATACATAAAAGTATAATGTAAAAGTAGTAGATTTTACTATTTTTATGCAAAAATGTAAAAATCTACAAGGTGAGGGCTTTGCGCAAGTCTGCTTCATTGGTGAAGGATTTCCCACGAAGATGATTATCCAGGGAGTGGAAGAGGTGGTAATCAGATGGTGCAAGGTCAGGTGAATAAGGTGGATGGCACAAAGTCTCCCAAGTTGCTGTATGGTATCCCTGACCACTTGCGTGACATGTGGCCTGGCGTTGTCATGGAGGAAAAGCACACCTTTGCGATTCACCAGTGCTGGCTCCTTCTGGTGCAATGCCTGTTGCACACATTTCAATTGCTGCGAGTATAGGTCTCCAGTGACTGTTTGGCCCGTTGGTAGCAGTTCATAATGAACTACTTGACGACCTGTCCACCAGACACAAAGCATAATCTTGCGTGGGTGCATAGGTGGTCTTGCGGTGTGAGGGACAGCATCCTGAGGAGACAACCAATGTCTGGAACACTTGGGAGTTTTGTACAGAACCCACTTTTCATCACTGGTAAGCACTCGATTGAATAATGATGTGGTATGGTGGCGAGAAAGCAGCGATCACAGGCTGCCACTCGTTGTCCCAGAGGGCCTCCAAAAGTGTTTGAACCCACTTGCTCAGTTTGTACGTCTTACCTAGGTGGTGCAGGTGAAGTCTAACTGTTTCATTGGAAATGTTGAACTGTCTTGCAAGTTCACCACATGTTAGACTACTGTCCTCTTCAATGGCCGCCTTCAGGACCCCGTCATTCAAGACCTGTGGTCGTCCACTGCGAGGCTCATCATGAAGAGACAAATCTCCCGACTTGAATTTTCAAAACCAATGCCTTGCAGTACGTTAATCCACAGCACTATCCCCAAACACTTGACATATGCGGCGACTTGATGCAGCTGCTTCTAAGCCCACTTTGAAGTCGTAAAGCAAACAGCCCCGAACGAGATCTCTAGACACTTCCATCCTTCTCACAACTGTCCGGCTTATAACTGAGGGCCGGGCACGGTGCGTGTGTTTTTTATAACATCTGATGTTCCTACTTCTGGCTGTCCGAATTTGAAAACAATTGCTACACGCATTTTGTATATATTTCAACTTCATTCAATGACTAATCAAAAAACAGACAGAACTTTTTTGGTTACCTAATAGTAGCTGATTCTTCCATTTTGTTTATATAAAAATATTTTCTTCCAAAAAAGGAAAAATCTTCCATAAAACCGGTTGATTTTCTAATTTTTATATAAAAATCTAAAAGTTTACCTATTTCATAGCAAAAGTAGCAAATTTTCCTATTTTTACATAAAAATATAATGTAAAAGTAGCAGATTTTCCTATTTTTACATAAAAATATAATGTAAAAGTAGTAGATTTTACTAAGTCATGCATAATATTTCCTTTTAAATTAACTCATTATATTGCATAAACTAAAATTTGTTTTTGCAGTTCTAACTACACTGAAAAAGTGTTTTGATTATGCCAACTGTTATGTCATTGTACATTTTATTACATTATCAAAACGGGTTAATAATAGTTAATATATTCCTTTATTATTGTTTCTAAAATTGAACAATGAAAAAAATGTTCCTTTTTTAATTTAAAAATGTAAAAATTTGACTCAAATGTGTACAGTTTATAAAGAAGGCACTGTAAATAATGTTTTGTACCATACTTTATCACTATATATAATTCTATGTCCCTTTCAAAAAATGGAAGGGGTAATATGAACAAAATCAAAATTGGATCCATATGGATTACAAAAAACAAGAGGCTTAATCTAGAATACAAGCATTTATTAATATTGCAGTGGAGTACTTGGAGATGGGAATTAACAGGAGATAACTGATAACTGACATCCATTACACATGGCACATGAAACTAGAACAGTCTACCCCAGTGAGCAAAATAAAGGGTTCAGTTTGATATTCCAACCACCTGAAGAAGGGAATACAAAGACCAAAACATTGTGATAAATATGGCAACAAAGATGAAGATGATAGTCCAAACAATGTAAATAGTGTACATAATACTTCATCTCAGAAATATAGACAGATATTGCTTTGAGTGTTTGATCTTTTTACAGTTGTAAAAATTACTTTGTTTTGTATCAGAATTTATAAAACATAACAAAGAAATGAGATGATCATACTAATCATTCACAATTAAATGTTAAATATGTAAAACTTATCAGAAATTAAATTCCAGTTCATTGCTTCATCTATGTTTTATCTTTTTCGTTTTGGTAGATGGTCTTCAACACTGTTTAAATATTCAGTCCACCTAAAGGAAAAGAATAAAATAATTATAAATATTAAAAAGAAAGAGATAATTCTAATTATTATTATTTTTAAAAACGTTGTGATAAATATGGCAGCAAAGATGAGGACAATAGTCCAAATAATGTAAATACTTCATAATACTTCATCTCAGAAATAGAGACAGATACCGAATTTTTAAAAATGTTTTGCATTTAAATGCATTTGTTTTATAATCACATGCCAGGTCATAACCAATGACTTAGGGCAAGCAAAGGATGTAATTTTTTGCTGATTTCATTTAATTTTTAAAAAAGACAGCTATTAACAACAAAAAAACTTAAACAGACAAAGCTCTTTATAGGATATTGGATGTGTATTTTTTTGATTTCTTGTGTAATCTGACACTGATCCTGTGCAGCAAGAATAAATCCTTCAGTCCTACCCTTAAGTCCTAAACTCCTTAGCCATGGGTTGTGAATTTATCTACATCAGCATTTTTACTTCAAAGAAGGAACCAGCTTTGTAGAGGCTTTTTTTTTTCAATTTTATTGTATTTGCTTTTGGCCTAGGTTTTTCGCTTCTTTTTTTTAGTTTTTTTGCTGATTTTGTGGCAGCTGTATCTACTTCAGTGCTATTTTTTAAGATTTTACCCAAATTCGCTTGCATATTTGAGCATCTTTGGATACAGAATAAAGTTTTTTACTTTTTTCATGCTCCATTACATTGTAACATCCAATCTTATATAGCCACAAGATACTTATAAATTTCCATAGAAAATTCCAATTGAACCAGGCCCATACCAGCCATACTCCTTGACAAATAAAGACATTCAACTTAGGGTGATACATTCTATTACATGTGAATCATTTTTGAATTGTTGCATCATTTTTTTAAGTTCCAGTTTATTATTTATTAAGCTATAAGTTACAACTGGGATAAAAAGTGTTAATGACTGCTATTATATTTTTTGAATTCAATTAAGTTTTCATTATTACTTGCACTTATCTGATGCACTCCTTTATGATTTTTTCATCTTCAAATGCTGTATTCTATTACCTTCATTCACACCTAGATATTTATAAGTACCTTCCTGGTCAAGTATCTTAATAACAGTATCTACATCAAGAATTATATTCTTGCTACTAATAAGCTTTCCTCGCTTGAAGGTGGCCTTTGCACATTTATCAAGCCCAAATTCCATGCATATATCATTGCTGAAACTTTTCATAGACTTTAAAAGTACTTGAAAGTTATTATTTATTATAATAAGTCATCCATATAAAATAGATGGGGCACTTTGACATGGTTAGCAAGCTTGTATGGTTAAATCAATTACAACTGAATAGTGAGTTTGATCCTCACTCAGTGCTCCATACTTTTGCCATATCTAAGCTACACTTAGGAAATCACCATTCATATAAAACAGATGATTTATTCATTTATCATTGATCTTATATCCAATATCCTGTATTGTTTAGCAATTTTGATAAAGAAACTAATTCCAGAAAAAGTAAAAGGATATAAAGCATCTCCTTGAAAAATTCCACATTTAATTTTTTTTGTCTTTACTTAGGAGCAAGAGAAACAGATCTGTATTTCAGAATGGCATACTATTTCATAAGAAATTCACAATTGTCATTGAGATTTCATATACTTCAAGGGCCTTGATGATCCATGAGCATGGAATGTTCACAAAAGCCTTTTTGTAGTCTATCCACATTACACTGAGATTTTTGTCATTTGTATGAGTATTTTCTAAAATCATCCTATCTTATAGGATGATAACTGATCTTTGCAGTCATACGAACCCCTGCTCAATAGGACATATATTGTGTTCTTCCACACTGCTGGATGTTCTTTTGGTTAAAATGGAGGTTAACAACTTGTAAGATGTTGACAAACAAGTGATATGTTGATAATTTTTAGGGTTTTCTGTGTCATTATTTTTTAGTAGCAAGTATGTAACACCTTGGGAAAACCATTCTGGTGGTGTTGTGGGCTTCAGCATCATTTCATTAAATAGTGTTAACATAATGACATGATTAGTAGAGAAAGTGTCAAGCCAGAAGTTAGGAATTTTGTCAATTCCTGGTGATTTTCATTTATGATACTTAATGTGTATTTTATTTCTTTTGTTGTAATATATTGCTATTGCTTTTTGGATGTTTCCTATATTTTTATCCAGACCTTTTAACCATTTAGCAATCTCATTGTGACATTGTCATCTCCCCATGTACGTTATCCCAGAATATATTTATTTCTCTCTCCAGTGGTGCTTTCTCTATGGATTTGTATTTCTCTGTAAAATTTCTTTGCTTCTGTTTCAAATTTCTTGTTTTGCATATAGAATTTTTCACATTTCTTCAGCCTACAGAGACATCAACTGAGACTTTCAATTGAAGTATTTGTTCTTTACTCTGCAATTTATATTTTCTCTATCTTTGTTCATTCTTTTTATGAAGTTCCTCCAAAAGAGATATTTCTGCTCTCATTGTTTTTCTCAAGGTTTAACTTCCATCTTGGTTTATTATTTAGTGACCAATGGTTCTTTTTTTCTGGTTTATTCCACACTTTAACTGAAGAACTCTTACATCTACATATATCAATCGGTTTAATTCAGTCAATTTATGTTTTCTTACATTACATATAAGCAAAATTTCCAACAAATTGTATGTTTAAACTTATACTTATTTCTGATTTTCAAAAGAGGCTCTCTTGCAGACATGTCAATGTGGACCACTTTCAGTTATTCTTCGATTATTTCTTTCTTAGTTCTAATATCATCTGTTTATTCTTCTTCTTTGAATTTGGTAGTTTCATTATCCCTTTCAGTTAACCATTCTCAGCTTCATTTGATTCATCAATATTTATCAGATTATCAGAGCCTACATCAAGTTGGTGTTATCAACAGTCTCCAACTGTTCTTCATCTATTTTCTGAATATTACTCTGTTCCCTCTTTTCTTTGATGCTGCACTCAACTCTTGATCTAAATTCTATTAATTCAGCATCTGTGAGATACTTTTGTGTCTTGATATATCATCTGACATTTGATAACTTGTTTATCTTTTCTTTTATCCTTTATTTCTTTCATGCCACATTTGGTAGATACCTTTGTATTTCTCAGATTTATTTAGTGTACATCACTTCTTTATATTCTTCCTTTGTCTATTTATTTTTTTTTTTTTTTCTTTTGACCTCTGGTGATGGTAGGCCAGGGTTAAGAGTGACCTCATTTTGGTGACATTATTGTTATTATTTTTGGAAGAATTTTTCAACTTGAGGGTGGTTCCCCCTGAGGGAACACGCTTCTTGTTGAACAAAGTTGAGTGACATGTTTTTTTGTTTTAAATTTTTTTATGTACCCTCATCGTGGTTCCACAAGTGATGTATCAGAACAAGAAAGTGTATCCATGGTTGCCCAGCCCAATGGATAGCGCTGTTACTGAAAGTAGGTGCCAGTTCCTGTCAAATATCTTTCATGACTTTATAACACACAAGCTTTTTGTTACAGATTTGAATCAACCCACAACAAAGAAAAAAGACAAAAAAGGAGTTTAAATATAAAATATTTTTATTTTCATGTTGAAGTGATAAGAAAAAGATGTGAGACCTTTAGAAAGCTTTAATGAACTAACAGGATGGCTACATTTTGTCCAAAAGACAATAATAACCTCCTTTTGTGGTTACAAAGGGAGGTAATTAATAATGTCAAAAGGGAAATTACTAGGAAAGAACCTGTCCCCAAGAAGAGACAGGCAAGTGTTCAGAATACTGTGACACTGAGACTATGAAGTGGTTAAATGTTAATTATGAACTGGAAAAACCATGAAAGGGTTAAACCAAAAATGAAATATAAGCTGGAAGATAGAGAGAGAGAGGGTGGAGATATTTTCCTTGGTGATATGAAAGTGAAAAGGGGCCATTTGATTCTCTTCTTCCCTACAGTACACCCAAAAGTTTATTTTTTTTTATCTATCGAGAAACAGGAATGTGGGTAAAACAAATTGAGATATAAATTTATCTCTTCCTTGAGAATTTAATCAAACAGATATCATTAGCAGAAGAGAGATAGATCTGGATTATATTTTTGTAGATGAAAACAAATTGAGAAATAATTTTATCACTCACCTGGAAGATTAAATGAGAACAAACTTCTCTTAATAGGTCAGATGTATGATTAAATGTTATGAAAACAAGTCTTGTCATCAGTGGTCTGGATTGTGTTTTGTGGACAAAAACAAATTGTGAAATAATTTTGTCTCTTGCTCATAAATTTAAATGAGAACAACTTTTTGCTTGAGGGTCCAATGTACAATAAGGTAGAAATTATGATAATAAGTCTTGTCATCAGTGGTCTTGTTTATATTTTCGCTGAACAAATATTACTCCAGGAAATTAGAAAGGAACCAGAGAATTAAAATTAATGACTAGAATAAAACTACACCCTTTTGCCTACGTGCTTTACAAATTAAATTTGTCACAGACACAGTTATGTCTACCCTGGGAAGTAGGCTGAGGTTAGATGCTGAGAGGGAAGGAGGAAGAGGGAGAATTTAGCACCACCTGTATGGAGTGATGGTACAAGATGTAAAGTGAAGAAAGTATGAACTGAAGGGAGGAGCTATCCCCCTTAACTACTCCAAAAAAAAAAAAAAGGTGAACAATTCTCCAAGTTTGGAAAGTAGAAATAGGAAGCAAAGAACCCTTGTTTGGATTAATGTGAAAATTGGGGAATCACCGAATCTCCAGAACCCTTCTGCCACACACCAATTTTGGGCCAAAGTGCATATAAGCAGATATCTTTGAGAGCTTGAGGACTTGTGCTGCAAATCCCACATTGATCCCCTTTGGAATCCACATCAGCTGCCACCAGATCTCCTGACTCTGAAGAACTTTGAACCCTGAATTTTAGATGGGAGACAATACCACTAAAGAGATTGTTGTAGGAAGGGTTAATTTTTTGTTGTACCAAAAACTATGTAAACCAATTGAAAATTAACCCAACAAATCTTTCATTTCT